GAAGTTAGCAACAGGTTTTTAGTCACGGGCTGAAGTTAGTTTTAAGTTAGTTGACAGTTGTCAAATGTCATAAAATCGTTAAAATAAAGTGCCTTTCTTGTAAAATAATACTAAATGTAAAAATTATTTTATTATCTCAATACAAAAATACAAAAATATTAAATAGTTTCTCAACGCCAATATTTGAAAAGTTTATATGAACATTGTACTGACCTTTTAATTGCGCCGGCAGTAAACTATAACTTAAATTCGGGCACGGACTCTACTGTAAAGTCCTCATAAAACATTTCCTTTACTTTCACTGTGAAAAACTGTCAATTTTCAAGATACATTTCGATTTATAACCTTTATAATTGTGTTTATAAAATGTAAAAATGTGACATTTGACAGTTTCCCCTGTTGTTTCATAGATGGCGCTCTATACAAATTTTTGATTTAAATCATTTTAAGATAATAATACGTATTTGTCGTAGAAAAAGTATAGTATGCACCTCGTTTATAAACTTTTCTATACACTCATTAACTTAAGCACTCGCTCGCAAGCTAAATTAAATTCGTGTATAAAATGGCGTTTATCAAACTTGATACATAATATACTATTTTTTTAAGAGGGAAACTAGGTCGTTAATATTATTCCAAACAAGGCAATTAACCGGGTATTAATTATGGTATAATGAGCTAATTTTCCGGCCGATTAAAATTCTTAAAAAAAGCTATAAACCTGTAATGATGGCATGCTTCTCAGATGTTTGGATAAAAATAATCCACTATAACGTAAACATTTCCATAAAATGTATATTTAAACTAGGTAAAACTGCGTGCGCAGTCCTCAGAGACTATATAGAAAGCAGCAAGTCCAAAATTGCGATTATGGAGCTGTTTGAAAAATTATATAATTTGAAAATGCAATAGAAAGTAGACGAGCGTCCAAAAATGGTCAAAGCCGTTTAAATCTTTACTCTATTGAAGAAGTAAATCAAGATCGTGTATGAAACGTCAATGACTTTCTAGTCGAAGTGTTACAATACCGCAATTTACGCCTATGTGTTATTTATAAGTGCACATACCTGAAACAATAGATTAATCACTCATTGTTTAGTTCTTGGGCATTCGATAATAATCGGACTTTAAAATCGGCCAAAATTCAGCAAATAAGAAAACAGTTGGTACCTTCTTTGTTGGTAATTTATGGGACTCCTCTCAACCCACCGCAGTACACGGAAAAGTTGAGAACACAACTTGCTCATGATTTAGTGGCACATACGCCATCTCTGGCTCCGCTACACACAGTCCTTCATATCGATGTATAAATATATAAATGGGTGTGGAATATTTATCTTGTTGCACATCGTTTAAATATATTAGCCGCCACGGCTACAAGGTGTCGTACATCATGCTGCGCTAATAATTTAAGCGAAACCAGTTTACGAAAATCATAATTTAATGTTTGTTTAACGAGAATGCTTGTTTTTACGTATCACAGTTCACTGTTAAAATTCTTTGTACATTTAGTACATCTCTGCTAAACAATAACACATGTAAAATTGCAAACTATCGTACAATATTAGTACACATTTTTAGAATAGAAGTTAGGAAATTAGGCACGTTATTTGTCTTTCGCGTTGCAAGTAAAAACTAAAAAACTTTGGTTTAGTACTCGATTTTATATATATAAATAATAATTCCTTATAATATACATATATAAATATCATTGATTAATAAACTCAACTCTTATATGCTTATACAATAACGGTGTGTATTTTATTTAAGTGATCATGGTGAATTATTGTGTTTTTTTATTGTAAATAAAATTCAAGAACTAAATCGTTGCATTTTCATGTTTTGTCAGGGATTCAATTAGAGATGCGACTTGAAAAAAAAAGGTCCGTTTTTTTAGGGTTTTTTCATTGTTTTTTTAGAACATTTATTTATTGGTATTTAAGACAGAACATTCTGTGGACCAAAAAAGAAAGCCAAAAAAATTTCGAATTATTTTATTACGGTATTCCTTAGGATTGAGCGTTGCACGTTTTTCATATAAAAATCTCAAAACTAGATACATCAAGCTTCAAATTGCTTTTTTTCCGGCTCCAATACGACCATTTTTAACGAAGATACAGCTATCCGAAAAACCGCAAAAAATTTGGAATTTTGTATCCTTTAATTTTTTCTATTAGTGTAGAAGTTTTACACTGATTGCTATTGGTTTCTTATGTGGAAACTACCAAATAATAAGAAATCAGATTTTTTAGTCTCGGTCAAAATTTTTAATAATGAAAAATGTAGTTAATATATTCTAGGTATATTTCACTTTATTAATAATATACATTTTACTCAAATTTTCATTTTGAAAAATTACTCCATTTTTTAAGATTGATGTTATATGCTTTATTGTGGCGGATTTGAAAAAAAACAAACAAAAAAAACCGTTTTTTTTCTAGATTTTTTTCACATCTAAAAAACCGTTTTTTTACATCTATAAACTTTACCTAATATAATTTATATTTAAGTAAGAAATCTAACAAAAAATAAGTGTTGTACAAACATAACCTTAAAATCGAATATTTTTATATTCGAGTATTTCACGTAAATCATTACTAAAATGTGTATTTATTGTATCTAATTTATTTGTTCATTCAGATTTTCACTGTTTATTACGCACCGGTAAAAACTCAAACCAGGATTTAATCTCAAAAACATTTTTTTGTAAACTTTGTTCTACTATTCATATTGTATAAAAATTCTGACCTCACTCAGGTGCACAGTTTCTTGTAAAAGTCAATATTTTTATGGCCAAATCTGTGCTGATTTTATAGTCAATAAAAAATATTCTTGGACATGACTTTTTACCTATTCGTCGAAATGCCTTTCACAATTGCTTGATTTTATGAAGGTTGTAAACCACTTGCTAGGTAAAATTTTATATGCACCATGCTGTAAAATGTAAATAGAAAAAATTATTCTATTTACCTGCGAGATTCGGAAAAGTGCATTTGTATGTTTGAAATGTTAATGATCAAAAGTTAACGACATTTGAATCGATCAAAATATCATTACACGCTAAAGGGAAGTTGTAATTAGGAAACATGTCATTGACATTAACCGATTCCAAGAAAGCAATCTATGATACAAATCTACGAATGATTGATGACGCCTATTTTTTAGTTACTAGTAGCGAATTGATAAATAAACTAAAAACCAAACCGAAATTAGGATTTATGTATGAATTCATATGATTTGGTTTGGAAATATTACAGTAGCGTGCGTGCGTAGGTTATTACCATGCGTTCCCCACTACAAAAATCTATTTATATCTAAAAATTATCGATATCAAGGTTTTAATTAATCATATTGATATCCATCGCTAATAAGTAGCAAGTTTAAAAAACTGCAATATAAAAAATATACCTACTCAGGGAGAAAATTACCATGAACATACTACGCAGAGTTCATTTGGTAATTATGTCTGCTTAGCAAAGATTTAAATCTTCTTTTTTGTGACAATTATACCGGGGACAACTTTGACTTGATGGATTTGTTAGTGGATAAGATTCAATTAGCTACGGTTCAAACCGGAAACACGAAATAAATCATGTAAATAACTAAGTTGCCATCTATTTATAAATACCGAATTTCGTATGCAATTTATGGTAATAAATCTCGAATAGTTTATAAAAAATATAATATTTGACCACCCAGAATAACCCACCCATCAATATCTACTCTACAAACATGTAATTAATTAAGGAATCAATCGGGAAGATAACAAGTGACTTGCGGAGTATAATATACGATCATTATGTTGGCAGTACTGGTCGCAAGTTCAGGTAGTTAAAATTGCCGCCATGCTTTTATGCCTTTAGGTGCACGACCCTTGTTAGCTTTTCAAATGGACACTGCACTATTTTAGATTTACATTTATAAAATTTAACTATTTTCAACTATCATGTATTGAAAGACAAAATTTACTAACAGTTCACTTCTGTATTAAACAATATTATTCCCAATCAATTTTTTCTATCATTTTTTATTAAGTAGGGATAATTTATTTGGGCACAATTTAGTAAATCCTAAATATTTTTTTTATAAAATCATTTACCTAGATTAAATTGGTAAATAGTGTCGAGACATTTAAAACACATATAAAACATTTTGTAGCAAAATATATAGTTTAAAAAATTTTTTTTTTTTTAATCTTTTAACTTTACTAAATGCTAAAACGGTGTGCCATAACAAAGTATGTTGTTTCCAGTAAGCAAGTGACAAAATGTATTTTCTTTTTAAATAAATAAGTAATCACAACAACGATAAATAACCACATACATACATACATACTTATGTATTTGTTTTTATGATTGCTTTATTTAAAGATTAAGTAAGCTTGTTATCAACTTTCTTTGTATAATTTAATATAAAAAACACAAATCAGAACATAATTACAATAATTGACATTCTATAAACAAATAATTTCGCAAACTTTTACATTAATTAGGTAACACAAGGTTAACATAATTTTTATTCTTATTTAGTAATTTTAAAAGGTATAAACACAATTATTTTTATGTTCAGTACAAAATTCTTTGTATTTTTATTTAATCATATTTTGTTAAAAAATACTAACTTGCAATAATTATTATTTCAAAAGATGACACAGTAAAGTGACTCGTATTGCACTTGTACAATGTATATTGCAAGATAGATAGTATAACGTGCATAGGTCAAATTTAACAACAAATAATATGAGAAGCAAACGCGCAGATAAATAAATTAGTTAGTTAGTTTAAAATTCCAGGAATATTGCTTGTGGTTATCAAATCTGTTTATCGCAACTACCTATAGAAACAATCTCAATTTGTAAATTCTGAAGTACCTAAGTACGCAAAGGAATTCCTTAATCAATTTCTGTGTTTCATAAAAATAATTTTCTACAGGGTGTTGGGAATGAGTACTGTAACACGTGGAAGTGTTTTGCCCGGCTTTTTTTACGTTAAAAATATTACCTTATAAAATATCCATTTTGTACTGTAATCCTAGTTTTACAAACACACTGTAATCACTTTTAGGCTGCAATTCATTCCATCGAACAAATACATGAGTAAATATACAAGCACAGCACGATTTTCTTGTTTATATGCACCCGAGTTGACAACGTTGCAAAATGGCAGCGAGACAGTAACTTCCACGGCCGACTACGAACTGATGGAAAAGCAGCATGGTAAGCGGTTTCATACGGATCGTTGACGATGATGCGCGATCGCTGGCGAGGCTGCACAAGCACTCGCAGGTATATTGGTAATTCTAGGGAAAGACTGCTTTTTGGGAATTATGATTTTAAAAATGATATTCACGCCTTTTGGGTTTCAATCAGTTAGAAATCTTTAATTTTTAATATTTAAAAGATTTTCAAGATCAAAGTTTAAAGAATTTATATAAATTTTTTTTTATAATTTTGTAACTTATTGAAAAATAATTATTGTGAAAAGGGTACCTATGACATATTTTTAGAGATGGGAAAATTCCCATTTGACGAAAATTCCCGGAAACTTTCCATCGAAAATTCCCGAAATTTTCCGAAAGTTTCAAAAAAAAATTTTTTATTACGAAAATATTTTTTTTATGCCAGGGATTTGCAAAAATATATAACACATTAACTTTTTGTCAAATTTTATTAAGAAAAAAAATAAAAAAAATGTAAGAATGTAACTGCAATACTATTTTTAGTATCTTTTACTTTGGAATATTCCTATTGTATACTGAAACCCTACAAAATAAAAATAAAATGTTTACTACTAGAAATTCACTGCTAGTAAATCCCTAGATATTACGTAAAAAAATTAAAAGGGACAAAGAAACTAATATATAGGAATATTGAAAAGTAAAAAGTAAAGTAAAAAATAATTCCAAACAATAGATTTTTTTCTTGGCATTGTGCTATGCCTATAAATAAACAACAAAAATGTAAGAATGATTTTAACTTTGTTTATTGTTTTTATTTTGTTTACCTTTTTTTAAAAAAGTTTTTTGTGATGATGCTGAATAATCCGGCTTCATTGAGGTTATGTAACATAACTTAGTAAGTTAAACTTACATTATTTATACTTCTTCTGCTTTAAATTAACACACATTAAATTCTTATTCAAAGTTTCTTGGCCTTGTATCATGGCCTTAACGAAAATCAGCGGTTAAACAATTGACATTTAAATGAAAAAAACAAGGAAAGTTTCCAAGGAATGTTTCCGGTAGCTTAAAAGAAACTTTCAAAATGAAAATAAATTCCCAATTGGAAACTTTCCAAAACGGAAAGTTTTCTTAAAATGAAAACTTTCCGATTCCCATCTCTACATATTTTTATAGGAAATTTAACGTTCTTTAAAAAAGGTCTATTGTGTTTAATTGATTACTGAGTAATCATTACTCTAACTGTTGAGAGAATATTCGATTTTTTTGAATCACCCTAATAAATATTAAAAATTAAATTTATATAACGACTGGAAATCTTAAAAAAATATTCTAATTTAAACGTAAAAAAATAATTAAATGACGGGGTAAAAATCTATTTCTTACCATTATGGCAATGTAAAAAAATCTTGGGTGGCGTGTTTTTTAATCAAAGAATCAACGAGATTTTTAGTGAGCGTTTTTAAAAAATATCTTAAAATAAGCAATGTTTAGTAGGTACAATGTTTACGGGGTAGGTACAAAAAGTTAAAGTTTATTTTTTAATGTAATATCAATTATTTTATTTCAAAGTTTGTGGATTAAAAAGAACTTAAACTTAAATTTATTAAGATTTATTATTAGAAAGAGGGAAAAATTGTAGGGGAAAAACATGTAAAATGTCACTTTTAAAAAAAGTACAATTTGGCTCTGGGGTAGGTAGGTACAGATATAAGTTTTTTAGTTAGACATTTTTAAAAATTGGTGAAATATTACGATTCGTCTAAAACCGGATATTGAATTCAATCTGAAATATCTCATATTCTAAATATATTTTATTTTCGAAATACGCTAAAGAAGCAATATTTCAATTCAGTAAAAATCATAAGCATTATAAAAAGCGTTGATTAAGAAAGTCTCCACTCAACAGTAAAATACCAAGAACCGGTATTATATTATGTATTATACAGTGTGACCCATTTGTTTGCGACTCACCCCTGTAAAGTCTTTATTTATTGTGCGATTTTAACCGGATTTGTTTTAAAGTGTAGATCTTGATAAACTGTATTTTTGGAGCAAAAGACGCCATATTTTTACAAAATACAAGACCTACTATGTCAGTTTTCAAGAGTAAATTTTTAAGAATTCATATTAGCGATTTTTTAAACAAAATCTAAGCACGGCACTAGATTCACCACCCCTCAAAACTACCCTATTATAGGGTCCCTATACTAAATTTTATTAAAAAATTTTAAGAAAAAAAATGCACAAAAATAACGAAACTTTATTTTCTCAAGTTATCCATGAAAAAACATTGAAATAAAATTAAACTAATATTAACATGGTACTATTACTATAAGTTTAATTTTATTTATGTTTTTTCATGGATAACTTGACAATATAAATTTTTGTAGTTAATGTTGTGCATTTTTTTTCTTGAAATTTTTTTATAAAATTTAGTATAGGCTCGTTTTGAGGGGTGGTGAATCCAGTGCCGTGCTTAGATTTTATTTTAAAAAATCGCTAATATGAATTCTTAAAAATTTACTCTTGAAAACTGACATAGTAGGTCTTGTATTTTGTAAAAATATGGCGTTTTTTGCTTCAAAAATACAGTTTATCAAGATCTACAAATTAAAACAAATCCTGTTAAAATCACACAATAAATAAAGATTTTACAGGGGTGAGTCGCAAACAAATGGGTCACACTGTTGCCAAAAATTCGTAGGTATATTTTGTCGTTTAAAATGCAGTTGTCGGCGTTTTTTAGAGGACTTAAATATAAAAATATTTGATTTTAAGGTTATGTTTGTACAAAAATTATTTTTTAGTATTATTAGCCTATAAGCGTTGAGTTTCTTAATCAATAATATAAGGAATAATAAATCGAAATCGAGTACTAAAAAAACTAATTAACTTATTACACCAATTTTATTATGTTTTAAATTTAAACAGTGCAAATAGGATGTAATCAGAATCCAAAACAAATAACAATAAAACGATCATAGCAACCAAAGGAATGTCATAAACGTGTCTCCCAACAAACAAAAAAGATTTTATGTGTCTACTTGTGTTTTGACTGCGACCATATAGCGAGAAAAGAAACATAAAAAATAATAAAGACAGTCACTCCAGTAAGAATTAGTAAAGAGGGGGTCACAGTGCTTATGACTTATAAGTGGACGCCGTTCGTATGTGTACGTGGGACCATTCGGCAATTTGGACTGTCAAGATTGAAGGATTTGACCATTGTTATCGCGTCATCTCGTTTAGGCTTTTGTTTACCTGCCCAAACATGGCCTAAGAATTTATTTGGGGATTTAAGCTCAGATTTAATGAAATTGTTGACTTTTGACTTAAGGTAGAATTATTTAGGGAAAAACTTTCTTAGGTAAAATTGGGAGAGAGAGTATGACCATTTAAAGAGTTTGATAAATAAATAACCGTAGGCCATGGCAGCAAATTCAGCGGTGCCAATGTAGTAAAAATAAAACGTTATATTTTAATGTCTAATGCCTCAAAAAACATATATTAAATATGGAAACTCTGGAGATATATGTATATAAAGTATACTTATTATAAAAAGCACATTTCTTTAGGCCTAAGCTTCGCGTAGGCCTTTCTGCCACTAGTAACTAAAGAACATTTCAAGTAGTAAAGTTAAAATTCAAAGAAACCCAAAATATAAATATTATTTTTATACGGGCCGAATATTAATATGTCTCCGATTCCCAGATAAGAAAGCTGTCACATTTGTTAAATTATTTGTTGCTATCTACGTTGTATCACTTTTGGTGGGTGCATATCAAGTAACAATTGAATGGGACGTTATTTATTTTCTTGTTTTATGTATGCGACATACGCTCCCTGGTAGATAAAATCAATGTTAAATAAATTACCAATAATAGGATGAGCAATTATTAAAAAATACGAGAATACTTAATAAAGTTTAAACTTTAAAATGTTAAAAATGTTTTCGTTTCAGAAAAAATAAAATAAGTTTTTATTAAATCGGTTTAGTAGTTTCTCCATTTACCTGCAAAAAATGTTAAATACAGTGTGGTTCTCACTTAATAAAATTTATAAAATTCGTTATTCGATATTAATTTTTATCCTGAGAAAAGATTTTTATCTCCACGCGGTCTATAATTTAAACATTATTGTTGTCAACATTCGATAAAGAAATACCTTGTTATGGCCTAGGCCGATAAAAAATTTTATGAGGCAGGTAATTAGTTCGATTTTTTCTCGCTAGGGGTATTGTTTTGACAAATTAATCCTTTTCTAAGAAATTAACGTACTAAACTGGTTTAATTTATTTATAATAAGCACTAATTTGTTTGTTTTACTGTTAATGTTTAATATTTTTCATTAAATTATTGTAAAATTAAATATGAATAATAAAACAAAAAGTGAGGTTAGGCAACCAAGAAAACGCACGATTCTTTTTCTACGATTTAAATTATTTTTAAGTTTTAATTTGCTTTAAGTTTTCAGTGAAATTAAATGTTAAACACAGCTTAAACATTCCAAACTACCTATATTTTAAATAAAAATGGAAACAAATTGAAATTAGATACCTACCTATTTATTAAACAATTAATTGAATTCAATGTAATAGCAAAAATCCATTTCTACTTAAATCATGTTGCTAGGTATTGTCAAACTATTACTGCTTCTAAAAGGAATAATAATTATTGTACATTTAATGTAATCTTTAGCTAATAAATAAATGAGATTCTAAAAAAGTGAGGTTAGGCCGCTTTGATGTTGAATTGACCTATATAAAGTGCTTTGAAGATAAAATGTTGTATGCCATTCGGCCAAGAAGTGCCTTTTTGTGCTTCGCTCAATTGTAGGCCTTCAAACTTTAAGCTTAGTTCAAAAAGCCTTACTTCTTAACCTAATGACATAAATAACTATTATGAAAAATCAGAAAAAGGCAAGAAAAAACACATTATTTTTCAAACAAGTTTTTTTCTTACTTTTTTACCCTTCTACCTAAAGGTACTCCCAAAGTTTCAGAATTTA